ACCAAAACGTCTGAAAAGTACTGAAATTATACTGAAGAAATATCTAAAATAAATGCTTCGCTGGGCGCAGCTTGATACGACCGCAGAGGTCGAACCATGAACAGTTGGGGCAAGTATGGACACAACATTCCAGCTCTGAATTTTGATTGTGATTAAATATTTGACACAGCATAGGTTTCTGACACAGAAAGAATGTGGTCTAAGAACTTGACTTTTTTTAATTTACCTATTATGGTCCAATGTCCAAAATCAAAATATTCAGCATATCAAAGAACCCCATATATTCAATTTTTGTTGAAATCAAACAAAGTTTAATTTTGGACCCCAACTTGGACAAACTTGAAAACTGGGCCCATAATCAAAAATCTTAACACATGTTTAGATTCAGCATATCAAAGAACCCTAAGAATTCAATTTTTGTTAAAATCAAACTAAGTTTAATTTTGGACCCTTTGGACCTTATTGTAGACCAATTTAAAAAACGGGACCCAAAATTAAAAATCTAAATACACGGTTAGATTTGGAATATCAAAGAACCCCAATAATTCAATTTTTGATGAAATCAAACAAAGTTTAATTTTGGACCCTTTTGACCTCAATATGAACCAATTTGATAGCGGGGTCCACAAATAAAAAATCTAAATACATGGTTAGATTCAGCATATCAAAGAACCCCATATATTCAATTTTTGTTGAAATCAAACAAAGTTTAATTTTGGACCCTTTGGACCTTAATGTAGACCAATTTGAAAAATCGGACCCAAAATTAAAAATCTAAATACACGGTTAGATTCGGCATAACAAATAAATAAATGTGGTCAAAGATTTTACAAATCTAATGCGCCATACTGTGCAATTAAAGATTACTTCTTGAAATTTTTCAACATTTGAAATTTGAAAAAAAAATAATATTTGAAGAATAATTCTTTTTAATTTCTGAAATCTGAAATGAGAAAAAATTGACCCCCCACAATTTCTTTTTACCCCCCCCCCCCCCCTTTTTTTCCCCCAAAAATTCTTTCCCTCAAGATATGGTCATAATCTCAATTCAAATTTCCAATGGAGTTTGCAACCATAATTACCCATTTAAATTTACCATAGTGCTAACTTAATCTATTTTATAATAGAATTTAAAATATAGTGTCAAATCTTTCATATGGATTTTTTTGTAGAAAAAAAAAGATGCAACATTTGCAGATATTTTTACTGGTCTTCCTTTATAAATATGCATTTCTTTAAACATAATTTAAAAGCAGTGTAAGGGAAGTAACCAAAACGTTGTATTTGGATTACCTCCCTTACACTGTTTTAAATTATCTTAATTGTTCATTAACTATTACTTTATACATAATTTAAAAGCAGTGTAAGGGAGATAATTTCAATGATGTATTTGATTTATCTCCCTTACACTGCTTTATATTATGTTTTGTACTAAAGTATTTGTCCATTAACCAGGACAACCTTGGTTTTCTCCCTTTTTTGCCGCTAATTCCTAAACGGTTTGAGCCATAACCCCCCCCCCCCCCCCCCCCCAAAGCAAATCCTAACCATCCCTTTGTGGTATGGAAACTTGTAGTATAATTTCAGAGACATCCATACACCGTTCCACAGTTATTGTCTGGAAACTAGAAAATGCTTATTTTTTTACCCTTTTTGGACCCCTAATTCCTGAACTGTTGGTACCATAACCCCCAAAATCAATCCCCACCTTCCTTTTGTGGTATTGAACCTTATGGTAAAATTTCAAAGAGATCCATTCACTTAAACTAAAGTTAGAGTGCGAAAACCAATGTGTCTTCGGACGACGACGACGACGCCGGACGACGACGACGACGCCAACGTCATACCAATATACTACCGCAAAAAATTTTTGCGGTCGTATAAAAAAAATAACACCTTACAAGGCTTAACGTTTTAGGTTCAGACTATTTAGATGACGTTAAGAACAAAATTTCCGTTTTAGACTGAGCTTCATTTTCTAGTGAATGGAGCGCATGTATTTTAAACAGAATGTTAAGTAATGTCTTTTTTCTTCTTTTTCTAAATTTACAAAAAAAATATCGGTAAACAATTGAGTGAAATGAAAAATGTACCCAGTCATATAAATAGTAGCCTCGTACTTCCACTTATCTGATAATAAGTTTTTAGAAAATACAAATTTGTGTCCAATTTAGAGATCCTCCGAATGTAGACTCTTTTTTTTATTCCGCCCGATATTTACACTTTTATGCAATATAAAGATCAAGCTGCTCTATACCCGAGACATTAATCCACCAAAATCTCAACTTTTAAAATTTATCAACATAAGAAACTCACCAAGTGATGCCATGATTGAACGAATACCTCCTATGGCCGATGTTTCTTCTTCAACTTTCTGTTTCTTAGCCTCAGAAATCTGATGGCAATCATCATCGGAGTGACGTCTTTTAGACCTTGATTTCTTACGTTTGGGTGCCATGTTATACAACTTTCACACCCACAAAAGTGTATACTATGCAACAAATGAACCTTAATTTCCTTTACGATTGTATATTCATACGGTTAATAATTTTTCATCTTTTTGACACTTTACAAAATAGCATAGTCTCCCTTTATCCGTTTACTCCGATAAATGTTACAGTGACATTGTAAATTCTACCATAAATGAGGATTGTTGTTTTATGGCACATACATCAAAAACGTATATATTTGTACACTATATATGTGTGCGAAGTTAAAAATATTTACATTATCTAAATGGAAGAATAATAAAGATCATCGGATAATACATTTAACTATGTTAAGTAGAACACAGGAAATGTAACAACAGTACGCCCTTGAACATATGAAGATGTGCTTAATATTAACATAGTACTTAGGACTTGTTAATGTTTACTTGTAATGTTTCACTTTAAATACATAGTTTTCCATATTTGAGTATAAAAGATGAACTGGCTCACTGAAAACCAAACATGCCTTTCTTTTCTTTCGCTCTCAGCGTAATCTAGAAATGCATACATAATGCATAAACGATAACACATGTATCATGCATTAGACGGAACGATCCAACATATTTTCCTAAAAATTATCTTGTTTTTATTTATGTTCAGGTAATGCAAAACTCATTTGCTCAGGTCTGATCGTGAATTATAAAAAAAGAAAAAGATGAAATCTCTTTTACAACTTTTTCTTTAAAAAAATACATGCTACTGATAATTTTATGTACAGATCAAACATGGATTCCTTGTCTGTGATGATCGAAGAAAAAAACCATGAAGATTCCAAAAGGATCAAACATGGAAAAGGAAAACAATCAAACCAAAATTAGAAAAGATATCAAGTAGGCAATCAGAAACCATTAGTCGAAGAAAAAAATAGACAATACCATGGCCAAAGTGAAAAAAGACGAAAAGACAATCAACAATAGCAAAATATAGCTCTGAAAACACGAACCTCACACAAAGCTGGGGTGGCCATAAACAAATACCGTTGCATCAAAACGATAATCTTAGAATTTAACAAATTTAACATATTTTGGTCAACTGTGCTAGAACAGTTATCTTAACTACTAGCATATGACAGAGTCATCACATTTGGAAAGCTAGTTTTACAGCAACTGAAAGCGTTAACATTTAACAGTAAATGTCTCAAAATCAATGCGGAACTATTTGATTTACACTAACAATTGTTATGGATCATATAAACTCCAATATTTAAAAAATAAATTGCTGTAAACGATCAAGCCACAAGAGGATCTAGATTTTAAAAAAAATTCTAAGACGAGCATACATGACAAATTTCAGTCCTTTTGCGCACGTATGCTTAAATCACTTTCTTTAATAAAAGACTCCTCAAAAAACAATATGTAAACTGCGATATCTACAAATATATTTTCCATATAGTATACTAGAACTGCAAGAGCTACAAGTTAGGTTATGTGGACGAATATATATAAGACAACTTTAAGTATTTAAGAGGTATTTAAGCAGTATAAGGAGAGGTGTATATTCTTTTTCATCCTCTCTTTATAATTTCTAAATCATTACATGTAATGATACCTAATCTTCATAATTTATGTCTCATTATTTACATATTAAAAAGAAAATTTTCAAAAATTTCTAAATAATTATTCATTTTAAGTAATATCGGAGATGGGTATTGGCGTTTAGGATAGGGAATAAACCCAGGCTGTACAGTTTAAGATTGGACGTCATACTTCTTTCATATCAATACCTTTTATTGTTAGTTTTAATGATCATTTTCAAAGACAAGCTGCAAAAGAGAGGCGAAAGATAGCAAAGGGACATTCAAACTCATATGTCGAAAATAAACTGACAACGTCATGGCAAAAACAAAAACATAAGGAATAAGTAACCAACTTGACGACCCTGCTTTCCTGTCAGTATTTATATGTTTTACACAAAATCAGAACACAAATATATATCTTAAAGTTTATATGCAATACAGTTGAAAGATACATGGTTCTCGTGGTCTTCCATATTAAGATGTCAGAATTATCGTCTGATCTGTAAATATACATATTGTGTCCTTTTCCCTATTGTAACATTTCAACAGAGCTTGGATTTACATTACAGATGTGTACGCATACCAAGAAACGCTTAATCTGTTGACGCATCTATTTTTCTCTATCTGGATTTCCTGCAACTCCATTGGTTAATTTGTATATTTAAATGGATTAACGAGATTTGAACATCGGTAAACTACTGTTGCTTCTACTATATTCCATATTTCAATACAATGGCATTCAGCATTGGTAAGACACTTTTTTTTCAAATTCTATTCATTATTGTGAAATTTTGCATTGAACGGCGTCTTTCACAAATTCAAATAAAATGAATTAATCTTTGATCCGAAAGACAATGTTATCTTCAGTTCTTAAATTCCGGTTCTCGGTAAGGGTATATCCCCGTAAATACTCTGAAATTGCAAAAATCTATCAAAATCGCAATTTTGAGCTATGTTTGTTTTGTCTTGAAAAAAATATATACATATATATATACCTGTTTGTTCATATTTTGAGGTGTCCGAGGGTGGAAGAACATTAGTTGAGTAAGTACCAGGTCTGTTGCCAGCAGGTCTGTAGTTTGTCACAACCACAACCTTTCCATCGTTTGTCTTCGCTCTCCCTACTCCAATTTCTCTGGACTCCTTCCATACAACTTGACTGAAATGTCCTAGCAATATACAAATATATAAAATCATAAACTGACTTAGCCATAAAACATAATTCAACGTCTTAGCAAAACACATTTGGGAGGAGAAAAGACCTATATAAATGTGTTAAGTTTTAGCTAAGAAAAACAAAAAAATAATAGATTCAACCTTAGTGTGTCTACCATACGCTTCAAAGGTGTCAATATGCCAATTCTTTTATAACTTTTGTTTTGTACCCATGTAGAAGGTGGAAACAAGAACCCCATCATTGAAAAATCAATCGGGCAGTATTTTTTTTAAAGTTAATATATATAATGTATGAATGTTGTGCAAGTGATATTTCATCTATTTTGTCGTCAATACTTTTGAGATGCTTGGGTTATATTTCCTCTATTAAAAATTGGAAATTTCGTATAACATCTGTACAAAGGGAAATAACTCAGGTATTTTTAAAGAAATCCATTACGACGTCTGTTAAGTAAAGCACACAGAGTAAGACAAATACATTGAATTATTCATTTCATGGACAAACACAAATCAAAATAAATAAATGGAAAAAACAACTTTTTAATTTGCTGGTTTATTTTTAAAATTTTACGTTTACTGCTATTTTAGAAAGTTTTAAATATATATTATGAATATGTGTATTGATAAAAATAATAAAACATTTCGATATAAATGTATGCAGTTTGCTATAAATAAAAAATGATTTTCAATATATGTCTTCCATTAAAACTAGTAATGCTATTGTTTGACTGGTAAATGCAAGTCACAACTGACATTTCAATGCATCATATTAATTTCACATCGTGTTGTGGTTCTGGTTACCAAAATGTTTCCTCCTCAAAGGACCGTGGATTTAAAAATTTCTGTTTATTTGCAAATAATTGTTTTTGTATAAACATAAACCTAATTTGATAGGATAGACACATTGATAAAAAAGAAACAAATTAATTTCATCCTCGTTCGTCGCTTAAAAAAAAAAGAACGAAACAGAAAGAGGAAACTGTTTTAAAAAATAAAGTGTTAGGTTTGTTTTGTATAAAACTTATCAAAGATACCAGGTTATAATTTTGTACGCTAGATGCGCGTTTCGACTACAAAAGACTCATCAGTGACGCTCGAATCAAAAATATTAAAAGGCCAAATAAAGAACGAAGTTGAAGAGCATTGGAGACCAAAATTACCGAAGGTTTTGTCAAATACATCTAAGGTGTAGAACATCCTAATTATTTTGATATATCGATTGAAATTAGAATTATTGCGTTTGTCAGAACGAGAAGGAAGTCAGATTCCTTACACGGATAAAAAGCTTTTATAGTTGAGACAACTTATATTAAGATGATCCCTTACCTGACCTTGAATTATCTGTTTCTCTTCCGTATCTATGCATGTTGATTTCACTATACCAATCATCAGTGACTTCTTTCCCTTAAACGGTAAATGTTTAAGTGCGTATATTATTTCAAAGAACGACTGAAACGTATTTTTAAATCCCACTAGTACAACTTTCGTCAAATTAGATATCAACATTAAGTCATAAGGTTATGTGTCATTTTCCGACTTATGCGGATGTCAAGTAGTGGTTTTCTGCTTCAGTGGTGGCTTAAATACTTACTTATATCATTATATATTTAAATAATTTATTGTTAACTAGGTATCTTTTTGTCCTTGTCAGTAACGTATATATATGTTTGTTGTGTAATTTTGTGACATTTGCATTGTTTATCTAAAAACTTAAACAAAACAAAAATAAGCTGATGACTTGTAAATGTCAAAAAGTATAAAAAAAAACAATGAATGTGTCTATAGTACACGGATGCCCCACTCGCACTATCTTTTTCTATGTTCAGTTGACCGTAAAATTGTGGTCAAAACTCTAATTTGGCATTAGAATTAGAAAAATAATATAGGGAACATGTGTACTAAGTTTCAAGTTGATTGGACTTCAACTTCATCAAAAATTACCTTGAACTTTAACCTGAAGCGGGACAGACGGACGAACGGACGGACGAACAAACGGACGCACATAACAAAAAACATAATGCCCCTAGGTGGGTCATAAAAAATAAAATGAAGAGATAGGTATGATTGACCAAAGAGACAACTATAGATCATTGTACGGCCTTCAACAATGAACAAGACCCGTACCGTAGACCTTATTGGTCTTGCTCATTGTTGTTAGTACTGTGCTAAAACAATACGATTATGACAGACAGCAACCTACGACAACCACAGAATTACAGAATATGACTTAAGACAGGCATAAAAAGAATTTGTCGGGGTTAAACATTTGTAAGCACTCAACCTCCCCGAACCCGTAATAGCACAACACAAGAACAAAATGTAAAATCAGTACTTGAAAGAATTGTACATTTGTCATTTTAAAACGTTACTGGGGAAGTCAACATATTTGACGAGTTAAAATTTCCATAACCCTATTGCTCTAAACTTCGAATACAGATATGATATTGGAATTGCCTTGATTGAAATGTTTGTTTGGGCCAAAATATAGCAAGATAGCCAATAACGTAAAATATACATTAGGAACAAAATCATCTAGCCTAAGGTTAACACTGTTTCCGATCCGGGAGTTAAACACATGTTACGAGGGGTGTATGCCTGTGAGGGATGTATAAAACTCAGCCACGTTATGTCGGAAATCAAATAAATACCTCATGTTGGGAGCTTCACGTCAAAGAACCAAAGCAACAACACTCTTTGGAGAACCCGTGGATAGCCTGTCGTTAAGCTAAACTTGTGTTCCTTTACATCATAACATTCATTTATACAGGCAGTCATATGGCTCGCATTTCATCCACATCGACCTATTTTGCAGACTTTACCTATTAATTTTTTTGTTAATTTGATCTCGTCCTCGATATTCATGAAAAACTTGCCATTGGACGTTAAGCAAACAAAAATCACCCAATCTTATTAATGCATGTACTATTAAAAATATACCTAAACGTGTATTTGGAATAATATATATACACTCAGTGTAAAGTGATTGATTATTGTGTTACATGTTTCCTCTGATTGACATGAAATATATATAAAAAAAAAACAGTGTTAAACTATGTTGACCATTTTTAACTAGTCAAATATGTATAGTTTTATTGTTGATATTCACCCCATATGTACCAAGTGTTAGATTAGTTTTATTGATATTAAAGAAATTTCTTGGTATTCCTAAACGGAAGATTTTATACACACAGAAGAAGACGTATATTTAACAACAAAATAAAAAATATTTTCATTTACTTGTGTATAATATGACGCAGGTTTTTTCAAAAGTGATGATTTTCTAAAAATTAATTGACATTTCACAGTGATATCATACTTTAACTTTGTTTAAACCTGTTTATTTACTTTTGACTTTAATTATTTATCCCTTGTAATTTTTTATTAACTGTGTATTTGCATTCAGGTGTCACAGGTCAAATTTATTCGTTCATTGTGTGTTAATTTACGTTTTTTGATTGAGTTAAGCCTACCAATTGATATTTTATAGCGTGTTTTTCTATGTTGTGATGTTATACTATTGTTTCAGAAAAGGGAGAAGGTTTGGTACCATTAAAACGTTTAATCCCGCTGCAAATGTTTGCACCTGTCCTAAGTCAAGAATCTGATTACAGTAGTTGTCGTCTGTTTATGTAGTTCATGCGTGTTTCTCGTTTCTCGTTTTTATATAGATTAGACCGTTGGTTTTTCCGTTTGAATGGTTTTACACTAGTAATTTTTTGGGGCCCTTTATAGCTTGCTGTTCGGTGTGAGCCAATGCTCCGTGTTGAAGGCCGTACCTTGACCTATAATGGTTTACTTTTATAAATTGTAACTTGGATGGAGAGTTGTCTCATTGGCACTCATACCACATCTTCCTATATCTATATATATTAATATATATGCCACGATATCTCAGTAGCATGAGTTCGAATCCCAGCCAGGGAAGAACAAAAAATTTGCGGAAGCAAATTTACAGATCTAACATTGTTGGGTTGTTATTTAGACGAATTATATATATATATGATTCCGCAAATTTACAGATCTAGCATTGTTGGGCTGTCATTTAGACGAATTATGTTTACAGAATGTGTGTTCAGCCTTGTATCACCATCACTGATGATCCGATGGATAAAATCTGTCGTAGAGTTGTCACTGGTTCAGACGTACTTATAATATAATTATTTCTGTGACTGCATCCTACATTAATTTGTAAGATCCTCTACGATAGATAATTCAGCTGATCTGTAATATTCCATCTCCCTGCCTTATATATCATGTACTGTGTTACGACGCTAGATAAAAACCGACGAGGAAAGGTAACACCCGGCCACAGAAAGCTTGATTTTTGTCGAGCCTAGGTGGTCGAGTGGTCTAGCGCGTCGGGCATAGTGCTAGGCGATTTGGTGCCACGATATCTCAGGAGCATGAGTTCGAATCCCAGCCAGGGAAGAACAAAAATTTGCGGAAGCGAATTTACAGACCTTACATTGTTGGGTTGTTATTTAGACGAATTATATATATATATAACGCAATCATAGGTTTGACCGTTGTTTTCAATTTAGACTTGTTTATATTTTTTCGTTTGGGCTTGTATTATATTTGCCTTCGGGTTTATATAATCCGTTCATCCTATTTCGAATCTTCAAAATTCAAGAGTATATATAAACTTGAAATGAAAATGGAATCATAAATCCTCAAGGGTTAAGAAAGTAACACAAAGTTGGTACGAATTTCGTTATTCACAAGAATATATGACGAGTTGGACAGCGTCGGAAAATGTAGGCTTATCAGCAACCCCAAATGAGCCTTATCTTAACAAATGATGTTAGAGGGATATTTTTTACGCGTTAAATATTAGCCAACCAAATACTTCCATTTTTAAGAACGAGTGTGTAATTTGTCCATCCCGCATAACCACGAACACCCCTTCCGGGAAAATATCGTTTAAGGAATGCCAGTACATTATGTATAGCTTAAGTATTGAACAGATAAAATTAAGGTAAAAATAGTTTCCTTCTTTTGACATTTGTTTCTTTCTTGTTATATCATAATATGTATCCACCTAGTGGTTGCCTACTCGCTTCGAATGCGGAAGGACCCAAGGATTGACTGTGGTAAATAAATATGCATGGTAATCCTCGACTTATCTCGTCTGACAGTTTAAACCCTTCGCTAATGTGGGGCGTTCGTTTCACTTTTCGGGATGTATGATACCACAGCCCCGTCCCGTCAAAATGGGGACTTTAAGCTAAAGGATTCGTTTAGGGAGAGAACCAAGCTGTCTGCACGTGTAAAAACCCTTACAACGACTCTCTAAGGAGTCCATTGGTGGCCTAAAATCAGAAATTTAGAAAAAGGGAGGCAATTCCGCAAGTGCATGTGAACCTATTGTATTAATTGTTAATTTGTTCTTGTTCGAAAAATGCATGACATAATTGGTACTACAAATTAAGCAAGCAAAATTCAATCTATCAATCAATCGAGTTTTTGGAAGTGTTTGGGTTCGAGCTCCGGGCGGGTATAACCAAAGACTTCTAGAAATGTTATTAACTGCTTCTCAGCCAACCACGTGTATAGCATTGATGATCTCGAGGAAGATCAACGATCGGTAAACTCAAAGTCGGAATAATGTGTACCGTATCGAGTTTCATGTCCCCCTGTGGATTGTTATTTTTTTTTAAATACCTCGTAATCATAAAATCAGACTCGAGTCGGTCTATTTCAAAATAAACAGCTGCGCCATGAGCGCATGATACGCCCGTCGTCTTGTGTGTGAATTTATATGCAATAATCATAAATAGTTTCTGACATGCGAAAACCCCCTTTTTTTACAAAAAACTCAATATCTCTAAAATAAAATTTTGAATCAAAACCAAAAAGTATACAGATCTTAAGATTAATATAACTAAGAAGTGTGTAAAATTTTAAGCAATAATCATAAATCGTTTTTGAGATACGGCGCGACATGTGAAAACCCCCCTTTTTAAAAAAAAAATCTCAAAATCTCAAAAATAAAATTTTGAATCATCACCAAAAAGTATACAGATCTTAAGATTAATATAACTAAAAAGTGTGTAAAATTTTAAGCAATAATCATAAATCGTTTTTGAGATGCGGCGCGACATGTGAAAAACCCCTCCCCCTTATTTTACAAAATACTCAATAACTCAAATATAAAATTTTGAATCATCACCAAAAAGAATACAGATTTTAAGATTAATATAACTAAGAAGTGTGTAAAGTTTTAAGCAATAATCATAAATCGTTTTTGAGATACGGCGCGACATGTGAAAAAACCCTCCCCCTTTTTGAACAAAATACTCAATATCTCTAAAATAAAATTTTGAATCATCACCAAAAAGTATACAGATCTTAAGATTAATATAACTAAGAAGTTAAGAAGTGTGTAAAGTTTTAAGCAATAATCATAATTTTTTTTTGAGATACGGCGCGACATGTGAAAAAAAACACACACCTGTTTTAGTTACTAAGTCCCGTAACTCAAAAAGTTTTAATCTTATTTTCACCAAAAAGTATACAGATCGTTTGACCATCATAAGAAAGTTAAGTTTCATGAAATTTTGATAAGTCGTTCTCAATTTACGGTGCGACATGTTTACGCCGGACAGACGGACAGACGGACAGACGGACAAACGGACAGACGGACAGACGACATTTGAATACCATAATACGTCCCGTCAAATTTTTGACGGGCGTTTAAAAAATGTTTTCATATTCATGTTTATTCTTTTTTTTTTTATTACCGCTTGAACGGAATATTTACTTCGACGGGGTCTATTATATGACGGGAATTTGTTCTCTGCTGCTGCTAATTAAATGCATATTCAGGACGAGATCATGTTAATATAATTTGAATATTAACCCTGCTTTGTACTCGATGAGTCGGACTTTTAACGCGCTAGTTCACAGGGTATCAATTTGAGGATATATGTCGGCCTACTTGGACACATCAATCTCGCTCCGAGCCGATTAGTCTTTGCTCTTTCTTTTTAATACTGCGTGCTTAGTGGAGAAGCAGCAAATACCAATTTTAAAGTCTTTGGTTTGACTCAGCCGGGGCTCGAACCCACGACCTCCCCATGCGCACTCGAGGCTAACACGCTACCACGAGACTACCGAGGCGGTCTGTATCGTTGACATCAGACAATTTTGTTTATACGATAAATATTAAGAGTTCCATATTTTGGCTTCGAGCATCACTGAAGAGACATTTATTGTCGGAATGCGCATCTGGTTTTGTAAAATTGAATCCGTTAATATTAATACTATCTCTACTGGTGGACTTTTAGTCCCCGAGGATATCACGAAACCAGTAGCCAGTGCTTCGGTACTGGCATTTAAATACAGATATTGGGTTATGATTAAAATTTGCTGTTACAAAATGTTGGAAACTATCTTGAAATAAAGAATATATTTTCCCTCATGCAAAGCTCCGAATCCTTGCCCGGTTTGGACTATACCTTTTTTTTTTGGTTTACGTATCAGCTCTTATTTTTGTTAATGGGGTTTGGATTTTCAAATATTTTGGCCTTGTTAAGTTGAGCATCAGTGAAGAGACATTTATTGTCGGAATGCGCATCTGGTTCAGTAAAATTGGTACCGTTAAAGTTATTACTACACTAATTTTGATGTGCTTATAATGTAATTGAAAAGATGCAACATCAAAACGAAAATGACAATCATATAGGGTTAGGCTATAAAATACCCCCAGAGGTCATGCGTGAAATATTGATAAAGGATATTATGTGGGGTATAAGCGTCAAAGAGACATAGACCCGAAATCATTTTTCCAGTGAGCTGAACCAATATAACGAATTAATGGTTTTATTTGTTTTTGTCCTTAATATGCATTGAAATAAGCTAACATATATATCTGTCGGTACTTGTACACACCGTAACAACATTAAGACCATACGGAAACGCAATTCAACTAGATTATAGATATAAGAAGATGTGGTATGAGTGCCAATGAGACAACTCTCCATCCAAGTCAAAATTTGTAAAAGTAAACCATTATAGGTCAAAGTGCGGCCTTCAACACGGAGCCTTGGCTCACACCGAACAGCAAGCTATAAAGGGCTCCAAAAAGTACAAGAGTAAAACCATTCAAACAGGAAAACCAACGGTCTAATCTATATAAAAAACGAGAAACGAGAAACACGTATGAACCACATCAACAAACGACAACCACTGAACTTCAGGTTCCAGACTTAGGACAGGTGCAAACAAATGCAGCGGGTTTGAACGTTTTATCTCGCGCCAACCTTCACCCTAACCTGAGACAAATGTGTAACAATACGACATAAAAGGACACACTATAAAACATAAATTGAAAAAAAGGCTCAACTCATCAAATTATGAATACTAACAGATTTTAGACAAAAGTTAGATCATGAAAACCAAATTACCAAATAGTTGAATTATAAACCACATGCAGAAAAATATATCAAAGCCAAAACCAGTATGAAATAATTTTGCCAAACAACCGGTCACTTATAGATTAAACTATATGTCTCAATATATTTCAATATATTTCAAGTTTAACGGTATACTTATTATATTTAATATTATGTCATACCAGAAAATGTATCTCCATTGGTAAACTTAACTGCCAAGTTTTCGCCAATTCTTTGATTCTTAAGAATACATTTACTGTGTTGGAAATCGTCATTTTCTGCTAACTGCACCGCCCACCACTGTGCGTGCGCAGTCAAGTCAGCTGCATGTCGTAGAGGTGGTGATGAGTGCTTTCTTCGGTAGGCGTTGTGAGCTTTGATAATGTCGTTTATGAAGACATGATCCGAAAGCTTTAAATTCTAAAAAGAAAAATACTGCTTCAATATTTTTAGTATATTTTGTTACCCTTCCTTCAGTTGACTGCATTTGTTTTGATTATTTCACATCATGATTGTGTCTTTTAAAAACAACTTATTTATATATTACGACAATTGTTTTTACTTAAATCACACGTTGAAATTCCGTAAGTAATTTTAAACAATGCCTCGCCAAGCTGTAAACTAAAATCCGTAGTAAGTATTGTTTTTTCAACAAGGATGGTCAAATCTTACTTGAAAAGATTCAGTGTTGATGGCACTTGTATTTATGACACTCATTGGGTCGATACCGCTGCTGTGGACAATAAAGTCTCTGGTGGTATCATATATACATGAATATATATAGTTCAGTTGTCAGTACTCTACTGACTTTATGAAAAAAAACCTTTCTTTATTTGTCCTAAAGTATTTTATTAAGAAACTTAGATTGTTGTTTTTTTTTTGTCATATGGCTTTTCAACTGTTTCGGTTCGGATTCACGCTTGGCTTTTAAATATTTGGTTTTGAGCGTTCCTGATGAAAAGCGCTTTTAAAGCATGAAATTTATAAAGTGTTAATTTCATTGTTTACGAAAAACCGGATATAGGTTTATAACAATAAATAGCTGTAGAAAGTATATGTGTTAATTAGCGCCCTTGAAAAAAAAGCCCTTCTGACGTCGTTAATTAGTTAGTATGTTGAATAAAAAAATTATTAACTTAGTTAAGAGTAAAAAATTTGCGCCGTAGATTAGTCAAAACTGTCGTTTTTTTAGATAACTGAACATTGGTGGAATTGACAGGGATAAAACTCCTCCTGACAATGTGTCCGCTTTTTGGTATAATTATTTTGCAAAGTATTAAATGTTCTAGCCACGAATCACAGTTCCTTCGTCAGACTTTAACAAGTTTTATTAGGGAATGGTCCAATCAAGGACAGCAATAAAAATCCGAAATGTGTGACTGAGGCTTAAAAGGTATATGATATACGATAGAGAGGTTAAACTGATTTTTCTATCAGATGATGCAAATTTAATTTCAATATGCACTATCGGAAAATGTGAAGAAAAATCTACCTTCGTGACTTAGTTTTCGCTATATCATAGTTTGATTTTTGCATGCTTTAGGTGAAAACACGAATCGTCATGCTTCAATACGTATAAATACTTTAAAACTAAAATCTACCATTGATTATGTCTTAAAATTTTGATACATGTATGATATTCTTGAAGCGTAACATTTCGAAACCAAAAGAAAATAATGGGATTATTTATAATATGTTTTGAGTTTTAGCTGAAAACAGGAAATCGAGGTTTCTAATGCAGGATATCACATATATGCAAAATAAATCCAGTCTTATACAAATAATTTTAAGGTTTAAATTTAATAATTTGATTTAGTTATTTAAATGTAAAAAAAAAAACTAACGCCACAGTATTTTATTCAATGAATCTTGAATATGAAATGCATGAAATTAATATGAAACTGTCAAATAAAGAAAGTAAAAATACAAAATTATCTTACTGTGTAACGTACTGATGATAGAAGGGAGACAAATCTAACATGAAAACTGATCTATTAGTTAATTTCACATCTTTACATAAAAAATATTGGATCATTCTTAAGTTCAGAAAAGAAAAAAAAATCCTCATCATGCTCAATAAAGTGTAGAAATATTTCAAGAACTATAAGAACAAAAGTAACTTGATTGATTTGTTTTAAATGACTCGTAAATTTCTTATTTCAATAAAAAAAAATTAAATATTGAATAAAAAACAATTTCTTTATATTAAAATTTGACAATATCTTTGAAGAAAAAGAAATATTATTATTAAATATTTGATACAGGGCCAAATATGTACGTACGAGGTAGATCAAAGGTTCGACCTGTCATTGTGAAATGTATAATCACCTGAAGATAAAATATGTATATTTTGTATATTGTGGTCAAAATGTTTATATTTCTCTACATAAACTCATTCATTTTACAAATTTACAAAGAAAATAACTGAAATTATAGGTTGATACCTCTAGAAGCTTTTTTCTATTGCAAATAAAAAAATAAATAATCTGTAGACTTTTGTGAAAATAGCGGACTTTTGTTTCTTAGTCAGATAGATCTAAACGAAGGTTCAAAATGTTAAAGAACATGGAAATGAAAACATGTATTTGTTTAGATATAAGATATGGTAAAATAGACTAATGAAAAATAGAGACGAAAGACACTCAAGGGATATCCAAACTCATAAGTCGAAAACAAACTAACAATACCATGGCAAAAAACGAAAAACGACCAAAGGACAAAAAACAGTCTCTGTACACGAAACACAACATAGAAAACTCAAATATGAGCAACACGAACCCAACCAAAAACCGGTGTTTATTCATACATGTAGGTGCTTCGGAAGGGTAAGCAGATCCTGCTTCACATGTGGCATCCGTCATGTTGCTCATGTAAATATAAACTCGGTAGGTTACAATCGAGTTGATTGCTGATTGTTCTAATTCCAAAGGTATTTCTGGATGATAGAAATTGAGAAAAAACGAATAAAAGAAGTTGTTAACAAATTTCCTATGTATTTTATATACAACACTCTACAGGATAAACTACTTACAGCAAGAACACATGTTTGACAGTTCACCTTATCTCCCGATTCTTTCTTCATTCTTTTCATCCCTGGCTCACACATCCATGGAGGAATATCCAAGTCAGCAAGATGGGCACAGTTTTGGCACATCTTGGCAGAAATGTGAATATGTTCAATACCCCGGAAGCAGCATCCCTTCTTTTACGTGCTTCGCAACTTCTATCTAACCTTTTCTTAAATTCAGCAGTACACATTTAAGTTCATTGTGATTTCAATTAAGTCAATTGAGCTTCAGAAGTTTACACTATAAGCAGCATTGTCATAAGCAGTTTTCCTCCTACCTTAAATTTAGGTACAGTTTATAGTATTTCATACATGGAGTCACTCGAGCGTTACATTACGGATATATATAGTATAGTATAGCTAGTCATCTGATTGATGTCAATATAGTTAAACGGTATAGATGTTTGTTGTTCAGCCAACCGCAAAACATTAATTATATCACAGTTAAAGGTAAAATCCTTTAGTATATTACATTTAAAATAAAAGATCATAAAAATTAGGGTGTAGATATTATCATTTTATAACATTACAAATTCTAAAGAAAAAATTTAAATTATATAACTATTTAGGCGTTCACTTTTAATTTGTGGTTTCATTTACGTCACAAATTTTACACACAAAAATGTACAAAGCTGAAAAAAATGAAATTTACTGGTAAAAGAAGTAAATCAAATCCCAACGTGTTTCCTTTGGAATATAAGAAGATGATATTCTGCTGCAATGAAAAAATTGAAGGTTGCGTGCAATTTGATATGGACATGTTTTCTTGCAGATAGTTTTTAGTAACCTTGCTCGGACATGTAACATAAGATCTGACGTAGTTATGTTTGCCCTTTTGAAAAATAAGAGAGCTTACCAGTACAATCGTTTGCTTACTAAACTTTATTACAGTCATATTTAACATTTTTAAACTTCTTGGTACAGGTGAGCATGTTTCCGTTCTAGATGTTATCCACATTCAACTTCCGAAACAAGTTCGTTGGCTCTCTTTTAACGTTACCGAAGTTCTGCGTTTAATGCCGAGTTTACGAGCTTCGGTCATTGCTTGGATGATGATCCACCCTAACTTGATTCCTGCAAGTTAAACCGGAACTCTTGAAATTGTCAGGGACTTGGGGACCACTTACAAGTAAAAGAAACTATTTTGAGTGTCTGCTTTCAATTGAATAGTGCTTCCGTCGAAGCATTTGTCTCGTAACATTTTTCATTCACTTTGATTCGTCCACTAGGTTTCGATTTTTTTTGCACGAGGCGGTTGTATATATGTGTTCCACTTTTAGAACGAAAAAGACTTTACCTCATCGAATAAGGTACACATTCCCGTCATGACTATGTATTTATACATCCTGCACAGCAAATTGAGCGCACCTTAAGGATGGGTGTTCTAACCGGATGTATCAAGATGGCTTTATTTCTAGACTTCAATCAACCAAAAGTGTTTGCAGTTCAGTGAGGTCCTAATTTCATAAAAATTCGAAATACCGCCAAACAATGTTTACTTCGCAAAAGAAATTAAATAACACTTTATGAATTTTCTGGATTTAACTTCAATTGGGAACGCTCAAACCTGAACATTTGAAAGCGAAGGATGCATAAATATTTGAATATTACAGGAGGTTTATGACCAAAGGTCAAATCCATCTAAGGTCAACTTTGTCTAATTAAGTTTAAATGGGAGATTAAAGAATCGAAGTATTATTGATTGCTGGTGCCTCAGCTGCACAACAAAGCTGCATATGGACTCCTCAACATCAACACAAAGGCTGCTTCTACGTTGACAGTGTGCCGTGCTCACTGCACGTACAAATACTGTTTGTTTGGGGTCCGTAGGTGAACAATTTTTCTGTTTCTATTTTGGCAGCGTGCCGTGCTCACTGCACGTAAAAATATCGATTGTTTTGGGTCCGTAGATGAACTTATTAAAGGGGAAATGCCTGTCTGTCATTTCAAATTTCCCGTTTGTCAGAATTTGCAGAACTTACCTTATAGATTGATGTATTGTTTCATTTGTTCTTGTCCTTAGTATGCATGAAATATTTGCCACTGGATGTTTAGCATCCAACAACAAACCAATAATTAATGTGTTTCCATACTAAAAATAGAAATGAAACCAATGTTTCATTTATTCAAGCACATTTAAATGTATTTACTCTACAGATATCATAGCGTACTGAATTACACATGCATATATAGATCTAATGACAAGAAATATTTTCTCTGTAGATCGACATAATACAATAACCAAGGTTTCAATCAATTATATAATCTTCAATTTTGCACATTGCAAATAGCATGACTTTATCAGATGACAATGCGAATACTAAAAATTGCTAAAATGAGACATAGGCACTTTTATTCAGTCACGGACCCACGATGTCGCGGGTGTGTTCTAGTAGTTTACTATTATTATAGCTGACACTAGAGCTCGGACAATTTAAAAACTCCTACATACAAGATTGTTTGATTGATTGGTGTGTGCTTAACGTCCAGCGGCATGAAATACATGCAAAACCCCACTTGATGACTGGGATATATAAAAATAGTCATCCCTGGACTTTTCCAATGCGGCTTTAAAACTGCGGCTAAAGTGGGAAGTCCGTTTGGCTATGCTGGATGTATAAATACACAGTCACGCCCAAATGGAATAATGAACGTAAATTCGATTCTATGTTTAGGGAGAGTGCAAGTCTCTCTGCATGTTTAAGACCCCTATCAACAACTCTATGAGAAATATGTAAGTGTACTGTTGCAAGTCAAAATTTCGGCCCCAACGAACATATACCCTCAATTTCCATCGACAGTCCAAAAAGCCCGTACTTCATCCCGGTCAACTATACCCTGAAGAACTTACCTATTACATTACTTTTGTATCTGAAAGTACATTAAATATTTGCCACTGGACGTACAGCAAGTAATATTCAATGAACCATACATGCATATTTTCTCAGCTGATATTATTAGACGTTCTTCTTTGTATCCGTTGTTTTTTTTTTTAACTGATCGAGATTAAAACGGAAGGGTTGAACGCTATAAACTTACTTAACCCACCATATTTTCAAGGCCAGGAACCTTGCTATTTTGTATTTTTCTTAAATTGGTGTGAATGACAGATTTTGGATAGTTTTTCTTGAAATTATTCATAACTTTTTAGATTCGGTACGAGTTAGAGCTTTACATATTGTAAAGACATTTGTCTTATTGAAGAAAGACTGCATGTGTCCTCTTTGTGTACTTTGACGTGTTCGTGTGTTGGGATGTTGTCTCATTGGCGTATACCTTACTTTTCCCGTTATTCCTATTACATTATACATTGAAGTCTGCTATGAAGATTTGTTCACCCGGGAAACGTCATAATGTTCGAGGGCATGGTCCTTTAACTTTCTATTTGACAATTCATACATTTTCCACGCAGTCTACCTATTTGATGTTGAGCACGATTTTATTTCATACATTTGTGATAAATATAATAATATAGACTAAGTGTTCAATTCCCTGCATGATATTGTACAATTAAGCGTCACTCGTGAGGTTCCAATTGAGTTCTTCAAATTCAACGGCATTGGCAAATATTTCTTTTATTTTTTGCGGAGAAACAGGCTGCTCTGAAATATTTTCAATAACACTGACTGCAGATTTGTTTATTGAAACAACATTTTTTACTTAAGATAAATGTTCATTTTTAATTAAAAAAATTGCATGACACTAAATATCAGAAACATCCCATTTTTAACGACCACGGACATGATTAGTACAGGGTTTAAATGATATTTTCTCATAATGATCAATAATTAATCAACATTCACATATTTTTATTTACAAAATTATGGCGGTATTTTAAAGGTTTTAACAATACACATACAAGACCTAAGAAGTGAGTGACCCATTGTAAGCGCCATTTTGAATATCGTTCGTTCGTCAATGACCTGCTTACCGATACCGATCAATTCAATGGTCAGAAACTTTTAAAATGATCATATCAGTGAACTTTTGAAGAAGAGTTTGCATAAAATATTCAAAATTTAAATAATAAATAATGTCAGTGAAAAAAATTCGTGCAGTTTCGTCCTGATGGAAGGCTTGGCAATACCGTCAGGTACATACTATATAGATAACACTTCAGTGGCAGCCTTATATTCCTATACCATTTCATCAAATAGGCACCAAATAAAAAGTTTGGAAATCTTCAATGGTAAATATAATCACATATATTAGCTTAGTCGAACAGCAAACTAATGTCAAATGTCATCTGAAATCAACTGTTAAGGGTCATGTGTAATGAACGAAAATCACCTTTCTGAAACTTAGTCATAGAACATTATCATCTACTTCATGTTTATTTCACAAACAAAGCCATATTGGCTGTTTCCTGTTACGTCATGGAAGCGATATCCATGATTTTCCCAAAGCTCTAGACGTATATCAGAAGGGCCATTGCCAGGTTCGGAAGATCCCCATTGTATAAATGTAATCTGTGTACCATCATCGTATCTCCACACGCCTTGTCCGTCCTTTGTGCCTTGTACATAAGTATCCATTATATTCTTAGCGGCTGAAAAAAGAATTATTATAATATTTAAAAGTGTATCACACATCTCGTACGATGGACAGCGGTATACCATGACATGTCTGTCGTTTACGAGCGTATAAAAGGGGCGAAACGACAAATTACACTCCTGAATGTACTACACTGAGTAGTTTCAACAACACGAACCCCCAACAAAAACCCGGGGGTGTACTCGTGTTCTCTTGAAGGTTACTGGCTTGGTGTATGTTATGTATTTTTCTGCAAATTACCAGTTGATAAAACTACGTAATCAGATTACAAATAAGGGTGGGTTTTTTTTCTCTCACTTTACACGGTTTAGGCCAATCTGGTTTTATGCTCTCAAACAATTTAAATTTTTGGTTTTCCATACTTTTGATATCAAGTTTACTTGATGAAAGATGTTTTGTTAACACGTGCGTGAATATCGTATCTTACATATTACTTTCACTGGTTCGGTCTTGATGCAGTGTAAAATATCAGTCTCTGACGATACAATCCGCGAAGTAGCCAGTGCTTGTTATTTGCTTACTTTAAATGTTACGTTTTATCACCTCACAATACCACGTGATATTAAACTTGGGGTAGCATCTCCCTCATGAAAAGTTGAACATAAACAGTTTTGACTGAATAGTGGAGGCCTTTTTGGATTTTTATGACCTCAACGGTCTGTATTTCAACTTTGTAAAGTTTTTGGTTTCAAATGTACCATAGGCACGTGTTGTGCTCACAGACGCTTGGGGCAAGGGCCTGCATTTTTCTCAAATTGATGTTGTGTTTATTTTTATTCTTTTACTTTCTTAATATTTGCACTTATTTCGTTTTTTTAATGTGTTCTTGCTCTTATTCATACGACATTACGACAACGTTGCAAATAAGGATAAGCATAGTACTGCTAATTATTGTAATATCGAAAATATGAAAGAATACATCAAATAAGCGAAATTGAGGAAATGCTTTAAAAATTATTTTCCAAACAAAAAAGGAAAAGAAAAAAAATGTTCATGCCCCAAGTTCCGGTGGTTTTAAAAGTTTTAAATGTCAAAATGGCTTTACTTATAACAAGAGCATTATGAACACGGTCATCAATCAGATTAAAAAGGAGTAACACCAGAAAATCAGATTACGCGTACAAATAGGAAGTATTTTATTCTGCAAATAAAAATTACAGGAAGAGAGAAAAGACTAAATATTGACAAAAAGGAATTAATCAAAAATAAGTATCCTGAGATTAAAAAAGATAAAAAGAATTATACTTATTCTGTATTAATGTCACAGTTTCTTTACTTTCATACTATATAATTTAATAAATTAAAAATGATCAATGAAAGCTATCATAGGAATCATGAATTATCATGAGTCGTAATAAAGAAGCTAGATTAAAAAAAAACATATCTTCTAGTTGTCAAGGATACTGTATGTACTATGAACCATTTAATTTTCAGTTTTGACAAATTAAGCCTTTTCAGAAATTCCACTTTTAAGCGCGTAAATAACTCTATCCGTTCTTAGGTAAAAGACCTCTGGAGTAACAAGAACAATAAAACAGTAACGTTCCCAAGATGCAACATCATTACAGAGTTAGGTTAGATTTTTTTTAGTAGGTCTTGTTCGGGATTTATATAGATGTCATCACACGATGCTGTATATTGTTAGCAGGTTTTAATTCAGTAATTTCAACGTCATTTGATCTCTGTTGTAGCACGTGCAATATTTGGCCATTTTAAAATGATTTCATTTCAAACTTTAACATTCAATAGATGAAATTTTATGGTTAGACCGAGTAAGATAAGAGACATTGACCAGTCCACTATTGTGTGATGCCTTATCACCCTACATCACTCATCAACTGAATATTTTATCAGTAGTAACATGGCGGGTGTCACTTGTGGAGCAGGTACTGCTGATCCCTCCTGAACACCAGATGTCACCTCGGCTTTTAGTGGAGTTCGTGTTTCTTAAACCTTAGTTTTCTATGAATTGTTTTGTTGACTGTTTTTTGGGGTTTTTTTTTTTTGTTTATTTTCGTCGTTTCTCTTTTTTACCATAGTGCTATCTGTTTTATTTTTCGACTTAAGGTTTTTATTTTTCCCCGAAGTATTTTCTCCGTTTTTAACAGGTTCGACAAACTTGTTTTTCATTACATTCATTGACGACGATGCCGACCGCGGAATGTATGATCGCTATATATGTCTCGCTCCTGCAACTTTTGTCGCAATCTCGACAAAAAGGCGATGCGGGATGAGACAGCAACCCAAAGACAAAAAAAACAAAGATTTCTAGAGGATACAATACAGTTTTCGTGGATACACATGTGTCTTTTCCTTATCTCAAGCTCTAGCTGGATCCAGGACCAGCAAGCAACAACCAATCAATCTAAACCACACCGAGTCTATAAAAGTTGTTAATGAATTAAACAAAACAATCAAAGATCTGCCAACCATTTCTCAAAATAATGAAAAGCATTAAGTTAGATATTACATACAAAAACTACTGACGAGGTTCCTGGCTTCGGACAGGCACATGAATAGAAGGCGGGGTTGGACTAGGGTTTTCTTTTAGATCTTTACCTTCGCCATATTTTTCTTTCGTCACCATTCACCTCATGCATCATGTAAGTTTTTTAACCGCGCTGAAGTACGTCCATTATTCATTTTTCATTATTCAAATTTCAATAATGAATAATGAAATAGTTCATGTTTCAGTATTCAAGTTGAAAAGTGAATAATGAAGTAGGTCATTTAATTATTATTTGACTGTGACACTATCCCGTATTTCTGATTTATGACAAAACAATAATCGAAAAACAAATTTAACTGACATCCACCAATGACAACCACTTAATTACAGACTCCTGCCTTGGAAAAGGCAGATAAAAGAATGTAGAGGGGTTAAGCATGTTTGGGGAGACACTTGAGTAACAGTACAAAATTAAAACAATCTATAAAAATCAGTTGGAAATAGCTTTATTCAACACATTGGTACGAAGCACAAAAACAACTAACATAAAAACAAAAGACGCAAAGTATCGATCTAAGACTACTCGCAGTTACTAAAAGCATGTTCAAATCAAATTACAACTAATAAAAAAATCATTTTCTCACAGTCTAAGTATCGATTGAAACACATCCACCAGAGTTAGTGCTAAGACGTCATAAACAGTCTTAAAATATATGACCTTGTAAGTTTGGTTGAATCCTATCTAACCGTTTCAAAGAAGTTGTGGATTATCAGTGTGATGCAGACGGTGATGACCTTATGTGTCCCCACAACTGGATGATTTCGGGAGACACACAAAATAAAGATATACATAAAGTCGACAAGTAATTGATAATATAGGTATCTTAACACATCCATCAAATATTGTAAGAACAGAACTAAACCGATGAATTAAATATTTTATCACTATTAATGAACTTTTTTTTATTTTGTCGCATTATAAAAATCACTTTGTTCAAAGTCAACTCAACGTACAGAATCGCAAGTGTCAGTCTTTTGTAGACGAAACACGCGTCTGGCTAACACAATTATAGGCATGGAATCTTTGATGAGTTTTAAGTGCATATATGTCACGTATTGAGTAATTTTATCAGCAAAAAGTAACAAAATTATAACGTTTCTAGGTATAATCTATATCATTGACCTGAAATTTTCAGCTTATTAAAATAAACTATTGAATTGGCATTGCAACTTTCTGTAATTGTAGAATTAAAAATTCATTATTAGATTGTGTCAGTTAATACGTAATGTCTAATAAACGTGCTTTCTGAATACTAGACTCTTCCGAATAGTCATTAAATACGAATTTTTTACATGTAGTTCCTCTAAATTCAACTGATTCAATCGGAAAATCAGATTTCAAAGATACAGGCTAAACCACAAACGAGGTAAATAGATAGCCACAAGATAGGTATACAGACACACATGGTAATCGTACACGAAAAGTAAACGGCGGAAACATTAGTCTTTGGCAGTACAAAGACCAGAATCAAATAATTCTTGAAAAGGATAACATGAATTACAAAAACTTTTAGAAAGTTTAACGGACCACACCAACTGCGGACACCTCCGAGAAAAAAGACGCTACAAACACAAATAACTAAAAAAAAACTATTATCGGTCGCTCCAGAAGGGCAAGCATATCCTTTGCCGTTAACGTCCGACATAAACTTACCATATCATATTTTCTTGAACTTTGCCAAAAAAATCGAAATTCCTTACATATATCAAATTGAAACTGAAATATTTTGAAAGGTAAATTATGAAGGTATATTTTTCTTTGCCTCTTTGAAAAGTGCACATCACAATTGACTTTGTACCAAAATGTTAGAAAAGAAACCAATCGCAAATATTGTCTGATTTGTAACTCAAGGATGTTTGTTATTCTTTCATATAGCAATTTTTGTGACAGTAATTATGTCCTCTCCAAGAAAAGTGATTCCGATATATTTCTATTTAAAGTATCACTGAAGACATTTTTTTAGTCGAAACGCGCTTCTAGTGCATTACAAATTATACTATTCACTATTTTTATATTTAGGATAAATAAAATTTTCGTTGAATTAAATTACAATTTAAATGATTCTTCTTTTCTCAAACATTTTAATTTCTAGGTCACTTTGTGACACTATTTGTTTTGTCTCGAAGAACACCCACTCTAATTAAAATATAGATGTCTATGCTCATGTAACATTAAGCGAGTTACGATAGATCTGAATTTTGATAAGATTGGGCTAGCACCTAAACTCTTTAGCTTACTATAAAAAACAAAATCAAAATCAACACAGAAGTTATCCCCGAAATATCAGTTATCATATACAATACAGAATTTTCTGATATTTGTTCGTTGATTTCATAAAATTCTAATCTAATTAGCTACCAAAGAATCAAGAAACAATAACAATCGTTTCTCGGTAGCATTTGAGATGTCGCCAATTGGTTAAATATTCAGTGGGGATAAAGAGCAAGTAACAAACAACAATCAATCAATCTATCTTCACATGCACACAAATTATCTCCATTTGCTAACTTTGAATAGAAAAAATATTACAATATGTACAAACCTAATTCATTTTTAACAAATGTCCACATGTCATCACTATCAATTTTAACCAAAGCAGCATTATCAGCTTGACATGCATTCGATGATTCCAAGTGATTTTTTGCAGTATTGTATGCCTTGATACACCGATCCAAATTAGCATCATAACTGTAGCCATTTGACAGGGAACACAAATCTAAAACAGAAATTAACATATTAAAAAAAAATAACATATATTAAATTTTTACTATGATTGTTATTTTTGCTGTTGTTGTTTTTGTCGCTGTTGTTGTTGCTCCTGCTGCTGTTTTTTGTTGTTGTTGCTCCTAGCTGCTGTTGTTTTTGTTGTTGATGTTCCTGTTGTTGTGTTTATTGTGATGCTTTCGCTGCTATTGATGTTGATTGAAAAAGAGGAAAAACATACCATAGGGACAATAAAAAAATAAACCCATTCCATTGGTAGTTTTCTCTATCTAAACTATAGTAGGAAGACACACAGTGTTTCGTCAAAGTTGAAGCTGCTTTTAATTAAATTTAGGATATGTAAGCTTATTGAATATAATAAGGAATTCAACTTAAAATAAAGGTTATAAGGGGGGTAATAGTATGCAGTCATACAAAAGTCGAAGAATGAATGACAACACCAAAGACAAAAGATGATGATGATGATGATGGATGGCTGTTTTACGCCCAGTGGCATATTAAATACATATTCAGGAAGAGAACACGTCAATGCGATATGAATATGAACTCTGTTGTGTACTAGACCAACAAGCTGAACAGGATTTTTAACGTGCCAGGTCACAAGCTAACTGTCCACAGGAAGACATGTCATCCTATACAGACACATTATTCTGACCAGTCTTTGCTCTTACTTCTTAATGCCTCGTGCTTAGCCAATAAGCAGCAAATACCAATTTTAAAGTCTTTGGTTTCGCACTTGGATTTGACGCACTTGAGGCGAGCACGTGGCCTAGACAAAATAACCAGGACGAGCAAATGCCCATAAAAACAGCAACACAGAAATATAATGATTGAGCTATATGAAACCCACCAAAATCAGTCAGTTTTTCTTCTTTTTATTTTTAACGTGAGGGTTAAATTAAAAAAAGTGACCCTCTGGGCCATCTGTAAGTGTAGAATGTTACCAACGTAACAATAAAAAACCGCGTTTTAGCATAAAGTTTAATACTTTTATTTAGTTTAAACATCTCCTGTTTTAAAATTGACTCACAAGAAATTTTGAATTTTTAAAGTAACATTATTGAAAGACATGCTAAATAAATAAACTCATCATAGATACCTGGAATGAAATTTTGTATTTGCGCCAGACGCGCGTTTCGTCTACAAAAGACTCATCAGTGACGCTCGAATCAAAAAAGTTAAAAAGGCGAAATAAAGTATGAAGTTGAAGAGCACTGAGGACCAAAAATTCCTAAAAGTTTTGCCAAAAACAGCATAGGTAATCTATTCCTGAGATAGAAAAGCATTAGTATTTTAAAAATAAATGGTCCTGCCAAATATTAATATAACATTAAATTTCAAATCAAACACATAATTAAGCTTGCTGTTCGGTGTGAGCCAAGGCTCCGTGTTGAAGGCCGTACTTTGACCTATAATTGTTAATTTTTTATACATTGCTACTTGGATGGATAGTTGTTTCATTGGCACTCATACTACTTCTTCTTATTTATACAGAAACTCAATGATGTTCAACGTCGACAAAAAAAAATCAAATCAAACACGTTTAGATCAATTTAAGGTAAACTAAAAGCTGGTAACTTATCGCAAAATTCATTTCTATTCAAATATTTCATTGTTTAAAAACATTGCTGTTTCAGTAGCTTTTTTCAAATTGATAAGCATAAATGTTTACAATGAACAATATCGAGGTGTCATATTCGGCTACATTAAGATATGTAAACACTTAATTCATTTGATTTTTTTTTCAAGTTTAGAATGTTTATTTTTATTATTGAAAGATTGATTTTGTTTACACTGAACAATATCATTTGTCATTTTCGGCTACATCAAGATATGTAAACACTAAATTCATTTGATTTTTTAAAAAGTTTAGAATGTTTTTTTTATTGAAAGATTGTTTTATTAAGTACCTTATTTGTTTTATTTTCGTTTCATACTCCATCTGTTTGCTTAGGAAAAACTCGAATCGTCCATTTCGATATTTTCACATAGGAAAATTGGTGACTCTAAACAAAAGCAAAGCAAATCATCTTGTAATTCAAGTAAAATCGGACTGGTTTTTTTAAGTAAATCTTTTTTAATTATCTAACTTATTTTCACTTATTTAAAGTTGTCTTGCTCTTATCCATACGATATTACATTAACAGTAGTTTATATATACTGCCGTCTATTCTTATTTTCCGTGGGAAATAAGAATAAAGAGGCGGTATATATAATTTTGTGTACATAACAGTTGAACGACAAACGCCTGGATTTGACAGATAAAGGTAAATCTATCCTTACCTTACCTCTGTATCTTGACACCCTTCAAAGGATAACCATAGTAATATGTCACTGATTTATCGCTAATAATTAACGTAATTAAACGGATATCATTTAAAACAGAATCAGTTAACCATAATGGTCATTAATATATAATCTGGGGATGCTAGCTATATATATATAGATAAAATCTAAAAATATAATGTTTGCCAGAGTGCATTTACTCTGACTTTATCATCTATAGAAATGTTAGACTTAGAAATAATCTAAAAATTAGTTTAAAAAGTAAAAGAGGCTATATTTGGCCTTATCAGTGGGGTCTAATATTGCAAGTGTAATTTAAATTTGGTAGCCGTCGCCCCATCCCCTCTTATCACATATTTCCTGTTATGTTGATATAGTTCGTTATATTCACTTTTCCTGTTTTGATTTTAACAATTTGTATCGAGCACTATGAATAAGAAACAGTAGTCGTCTGGCTTCGTATTCTATTTTCTTAACTTTATCCTCGGGCAACATCATCTCTTTATAGATTTCAGTTATGTCCATAATGAGTTGCATTTGTACTTCTGGGGATAGATTTTCCCACTTATGCAAGCAATTCTCGTTTAGCACATGTCTTATATTTTCAAATATTGGTATTCTTATATAATCCCAGTATGCACAGCTGAGAATTAGATGTATCATCACAGGCTACACAGACATCTCCGGTTGACTCGCTGTATATTTTGTTTTTAAATGTTGTAAGATGTAGGTTCCAGTGAGCATCTTTAGTTTCACGGGTATTCTGGTTATTTCCCTTGTTGATTGTTTGATCTTTAATGGTGGATGTATTTTCCATGGCCAATAATTTTGATAGATTTAATAGATATCTCAGTCCATGATACAAAGGGATGAGAGACAGAACTTTCGGATCCAACTTTTTGGAACCCTTTCTTTGACCATTTTGTTCCAGATCTCCTTTTGTATGGGGTTTTCTAAATAAGAGTATGCACTATCCGAATCATATTGATATAGTAATTTTTCTATGTTGATAAACCAACTATTGCTATCCATGAATTTCACAGTAAGTTGCCTTTTAGCTAGTTGTTTTTCAATACTTGTTTCACTCTGATTACATACTTTGTTATAAAAATTCAAGGTCTTGATATGAATTTGAGCCTCAATTTGGTAACAATCCACTTAGCACATATATATTGCTGGATCAGGTGTATTGGAAGGCAGCGACAATATCTGTTTCAAAGTTTTTTCTGGAATTTTTCTAGTTGTTCTAAAGGTTTCGGAGTAATAAGTTCCATACCATAGAGCAATACTGGTGATATATATGTTTTAAAGAGATGGATAATGGTTTCAGGGACAAAACCATTTTCTCCGTGAAATCCATTTCTAATTAAGGCATAAGCGCTACGCCTTGCTTTTTTATATTTTCTTCCACATTTTGGATAATATTTTGTTTCAATGATCCAGTTCGTATTATCCCTAGGCTCTTACACTGGCAGAGTCGAATTTATAGGTCAGACGCCTTGGGTGAATCCTCTTTGTATTTTATTTTGTATTGCTTTAACATTTGGGTTCATTCGCTGTTTAAGTATAGCTTCAATTATTTTGTTGATCACATCCAGTACCGTGATACCTCTACAATTTGTGGCATTGTTCTTATCACCCTTGTTTTTAAAGACAGGAGTGAAAAGTCCAGCTTTTAGCATATCTGGTACACATCCATGATGGAATAAAATGTTTATCATGCCCAACAAAAATTCATTTAGGCTGTTTCCTGCATGTATAATATGCTCAATGGTAATTTCATATATATCAGGAGATTTTCCTTTATTTGTGGAATTAATTGCATCTTGTAATTCTTTACTTGTTGCCGGTAAGATATTTTTATCCTTCACTAGCTCAAATATTATACTTATCGTCATCTTGTGCGTTTGTTTCGGCTGAGGAGGAGAGTTTTTGAAAGTGGTATTTAAATCCTGTCAAAATATTTTCTTCTCCAACATAGCTGTCATCTCCGATATGTAAGTCCATGATAAAATTACCGCTAGTACGGTTGTTTCTTACTGGCATATGGAATAGTTTTATATCTATAGTTCTTATTTCCATAATGCAATCTTTTTCTGCATTTTTTTCTCCTTGATTGCTCGATTCTTACTTCACTTCGGAATCTTTTTTCTAGTTTCTATCCTATTAATGTAAATTCTATTATTAGGGTGTGTTGGTTTGCCAGCTGTAACTCATGTATTATATTTTTTCCTCATATCATTTAATGCAGTTTTTATCTCTTGGGACCAGACTTTCAGCTTAGGTTTTGCGCTGTATGATGCCCTTCGGTTTGTACTTGCTTGTGGCAGCTTCTTTGATGACTTTACAGGTTTTCAAGATCGTTTCACCAATACTCTTTTCATCTTCCAGAGTCTGAACTATCAGTTCAGTCCTTTCATTTACAACTGCTCTGTACAAAATTTTATCGATTGTATCCCACTTAATTCACCTTGTTCCTTTAACAATGTTTTTTCTTCTTCATTTTTGCCTTTCAAGGGAAGAGTTACTATTTTCTTAATTGGATAGTGATCAGATAGATAACTCACTATGGCTGACAATACCTCCTTTATTGTACAATCTGGCTAGCTGAAAGTTGACAAGAAATAGTCCAATTCAGATCATTCACCACTATTTGGCCTAATGAACGTTTTACTACAGTTGTTGTAGTTAAGTCCACACTCTTCGATGAAATTCAACAAGTATTGTTTCTCTTGTTAGGTCTGTCTGCGTTGCCAAGATCTTCATTCAGATCACCTCCAATCACAATATGATAGGTATTTTTATATTTTTGAAATAGTTCAAAGATTTGATCTATTTTTTTACAAAACTCTGTGACATGTTCTTTGCCTCCAGTTGATGGTAAATATACAGAGACTACCAATAACTATTGCTTATTTAGACAATTGATTTCAATTGCTTGTATTCTTTCTCCTGCATCTTCCAGTGGATTGATTACATAGTCAATTTCTTTCTTCCAAATAATGGCTACACCTCCATACGCTTTTGGGAAATATTTTAGTTCCAACGGATGGTATTTATCAACTCCTTTTCCTATATAAATTAATATTCCTAGCGGTTTCTCCTATTAAATTTATTTGGTTTTGAAAAACCCAATGTTCTTGCACCAGAATAATTTGATGTTCTTTTGATAGTTCATTAATGGCCTCGCAACTAGTTTTAAAGTTTTGCAGTTATATGCTATGATGTGTAAATATGCCTATCATTAGAGAATTGATTGATATATGCTATCTTTGTTGCTGCACGAGGCCCCTTCTTTTTAAAAAATTATTGGATGTTGCCGATTGGATATTTGGGTTCAGAGCTTGTTGATATGTTGGTTTTATTTTTAGCGCCGTTGTTGTGACCTCTGGGTAAGTGGAAAGCATACTGTTGCCGGTCTTGGACTGTAACACGACGTCAACTTATTTCTATTTGCGATGGTATTAATGGTGCTGCTCTATTCTGCCCGTTGAATAGCTGATTCCTTCTAACATTTGCGGAATATTTGCCAATCAGTTCTGGATTGGGTGTTGATTACTAACTGGTACTTGCATAGCATTTAGAGTGATTATTAGTGATGTTCCGAAATGGTTGATGGTTTGGTAACCCATTAAATTTCATATTGTGAAAGTTTGCATTGGAACTATTTTCTCCAGCCAGTGGGTAAGCGAACTGACAAGGGACTGTCCTGAGTTGCATTGTTGTCGTGAAGTATTACTGATGGTTGTAGTACCTGCAATCCTGTATAACGAGTTTCTGTTTGTGTTGTATCTGATGGATACTGTTTCCAATGTTGGTTCTTGCATTTTGATTTGATTGTTCATTACTTAGAGCCATGATTTGTGCCATTGTGTTCAGATGTGTGTCCAGTTGGTCTTTCATTTTTTTTCTCCAAAATCACTGGTAATATGGTTTTTCACTATGGCAGTCGGATTCTTCCATTCTCTTCTTTATTGTTCCTACAAGACTTTCCAGTTCAGTATTTCTTGCCTCAAGATAGAAGCATATTGTTCCCAGTTATATTCTTTTTTGTTTCTCATCATTCAATGCCTTCTCTCTAATCTTTAGTTTTTCCTCCACTTTTTGCATCTTTATTTCACGTTCTCTTAATTCTTTGAGTTAAATTTTCATTGCTTCGTTGTCATCTGAATGTATGTGGTTATTCAGTATAATATTTATTTTATTGTTAGGATTGACAGTGTTTCGATGTTATTTCTTCACTGATCTGACCCTTTAATAGGTGGGGTGCAAAGCGGGCAGATTGGCCTAGTGTCCTCGCATCTGCTCTGTTATTCGTATGTCTCAAAATTCTGCTCGCTCTGGCTAAGTCCCCAACATCTGTCTTTTCTAAGTATAGGGCAGCTCCTCTAATGTTAAGTAAGGAGGCACTTTATATATAGTCCAGCGGCTAAGTCCTGTTTTTTCTTGTCTCTTTTTTTTTCTTATGTTTAAAGTTTGAGCACACATTGTAAGCCACCCCCTGGAAAGCCACCAAGCCACAATTCCTCTTTTTCTGATGCTGCATGAAATCAATGTACTGGTTTTGTACATTGTTGATGTCTGTATAGTGACTTGTAACTGCTAATAGCCACATAATTTGAACTCTAGTGGTTAGTTGTCTCATTGGCAATTATACCACATCTCCTTATTTAAGTATGGGTTATTTGAAGTAGATGACGAACAAACATTTGACAAACTAAATACTGTTAATTCAGAAATTATTGTGAGGTTTTTATAAATGCAAATAATGCTACTTGGTGATTATCGCAATTATAACAACTCGCATTCTGGTATTTGATACTATGCAGATTTTCCTGAAATCGCAATAATTAATCTCGCATTTGTGTCCATTTTCAAAAATTGCAATAACAAATGCTTGCAATAATTTCCGAATTTACAGTATTCAAGTCAGCTTTGGTTTGTTTTGTATTTCAATTGCCTTTGCCTTTTAGAGCAGTGAAATATGCATTTGGATTAAATTTGAAGTTGGTTCAGTAAATTTTATGACACAATAACATTTTATTATTTCTAAAAAGCATATTCAGACTCTAATTACTGATCACCTTAACTTCATTCATTATTCAATCAATAATTCAATTGAAGGACTCTTTCCATTTGTTGAAACTTAATCGTTATTTGCAGTACTTTTGAATTCAAATTTAAGAAAATATTTCACAAACTTGTATTGACAGAGATAAGGTGAACTGTATGATATCATATTGCATTTCAGTTTTTTGTTCAGTTTTCTTTGCATTGATTGTAATGTTTTAAATCCATTTCTGGCTTTTTTATGTTTGGGTTTTTTCTCTTAATTTAAAGCCAGCAGTAGAAATGCACATCTTATAAAGTTTCAAATCTTAAACATGTTAAAGCAGGTATTATAAAATGTTAGAATTCTGTCCACTGCAAATAATCTGTTTTCCTTAAAATATCAATGTTCACAATTTCGAAGCATGTATGGTCTTCATTTTCAGTTTTTCCATATTGCATTTTATTGTAATGCAAATTTATATTCTATTGTAACACGATTTCTCCTGATAAATCAAGAACAGAACTGGATATTAATCCTTTCTCTTGTTGATAATGCAAATTTATATTCTATTGTTACACGAGTTCTGATGGTAAATCAAGAACAGAACTGGATATTAATCATTTCTCTTGTTGACCGCTACACTGGTCCTGCACCAATAAAACCGGTGGACGTGTTTCTAAGTTGAATACCTTCACTGACCCTGATATTTTTTTTATAAACAACATTTGCGTTTGATATCACTTTTTCATTGGTCAAAATTCAATTAGCAATTCAAAGGCAGTGACGGATTAAGGGTCGGGGTATATGCATACGCCCTCCCTCCATTGATTGGAAAGTATATCATTTTAGTATAAAATCGACGATATTTGTTCTTTTATATTGAATCCCCCCCCCCCTTTTAAAAAATCCTGGATCGGCTGAAAGGTTCTTGCTTTCCTCTGAATTTGCTATTGCTACATCAGGAAAAAGGCTGTCAATAACCATGCATTACGATCATCGATGTCACATTTGCAAGAACACATCTCTTTGCAGATCACTGAAAAACCAAGATAGTTTGCTAACATACATGTATTGTTTAAAATTCTGAAGATAAACATTCCCATACAGGATCTCTATCAACCACTCTTGACAGTGACATTTTTAATACGTATATTGCTCGGCAAGCCTTGCATCTTGAAAATTAAATTGTCCTGAGGAGAAAAATAGTGTTTCCGATTGATGGTGTGTTAGAATGTAAAATGTCACTTTGTTTTTTTTTATATTATCAGCATACAAAGTCAAACAATCTAAATAACTTTGTTTAATCTCATTACTGATGCAAAGTTTTGAGTACACCAGAGTAAAAACTTTCTATTTTATATACTTTTTTTTTATATAAATTAATTTAATTGAAGTCTAAATTTATTGTGAAATTAATATTAAAAAAAACTAAAAAAAACACCTCGACATCGCGGATCCGTGACTGAATTAAAGTACCTACGCCTTATTTTAAGCCTGGATTTTTAGTATTCGTATTGTCATCTGATTAAGTCGTGCTGATTATAAGGTGCATAGTTTTCTCTGCTATCAAAATCTTTCTGTTTGAACCCGTCCTGGTTTTCTTACTACAACCGGAAAATTCATGTGACAAAGATTGAATTTAGTAGTATTAATCCCTGTACGAAGTTCATGACCTCGTTATGTTAGTATTATACATTTCGCGGGCAGTACGTCGACTAAGCATGCGCGAAAGCGTATATGACACGGATCGATAACGGTCTACGAATTTGGATATTTTCTCAAAAATTGGCGTTTTCTGTGGAAAAAATATTGTTTCAAAGACAAATTTAGGAAGTACAAAACACTACATTTATACGTCATATCACAAATAATTCCGACTTTGTATGGTTTCAGAGGAGTTGCGGCTCAATGAAATCGGTCTCTTCCTTTAGTAGTATAGATGTTCAAACAAGCAACATGTACAAACACTGAGTTTATTTTCATATGCTCTCTAAGAATATTTACACTAAGAAAGTTAACCAACGACTTGTATCATTCCATCTATTCAAAGGGTGTTTGAGAATAGAAAGCAATTTATAAGTTCCAAGTTTCAGAGGAAAGAAAGTTATCAATAATCTTCTTCTTATAATTGGAAGTTTTCAAAAACCTGTAATTATTTGAAAAAAAATGCCATATTCAACCATTCCATGACTATTTTTTTTTTTTACAAATGTAGAGGAACATGAAACATGGAAGAGATATTTAAGAAAGTGCCGAAATATAACTACAATCATTACTTTTACTCGAATTTACTGTTATGAACTTACAATTTCCTACGTTGCGTGTACGGAGTTATCTCCCTTTATTGCGTGTCCGGTAAATTTGGAGTCAATTATATATAATTATAACTAATATATGAATAAAAAAATTGGTTTTACTTCATATTTTATACCCCTCCATACGTTACCATACCTAATTAAGGAATGATTTGGGATTTTCCGTGGACCTACGCAAATTTTCAGAAAAAAAGTTTCATTTCACTCGTCATTTTAGAATACTTTAACAACACTTTTTAGCAATACATAAGGAATAAAGAAGCTTATTCACTTAAGATTTGAACACTGTAAGTTTTGTTTATATACGAGTAAAAATAAGACGATACGAGTTAAAAAAAAAAACACGAGGCATGCACGTTTACAAAAAAAAAACGTAAACTCTGACCTTTTGTCACGTGACCAATGTCCTAGGCTTAGAAGCCGTTAAATCGTTTGCCGTCCAACTGACGAGCAAGAACATATTCAATAAGTTAAAAAAAAATCCTAAAATAGTAAGTAAATATAAAAAAAAGAGAAAAGGAAAAGACATAAAGGGTCCCGTCTTAAACATAATTCTCTATGAGGAAACCGGTTCCTGCTATGTGAAATTGAAGAGCGAAACCAGGTCACACACATTCACAAAACCCAGTAAACATTTTGACATATTCATTTTTTTTTTTCATTCCATGCGTAGAAATAAAAACATTGAGGTGGAACGAAAGGTGAATAATCTAGCAATCTCCATTTATATATCAATCATTCCGTACGATGTGTGCAACTAAACGAGAAATTAAGCCATATTCGACTGGCAAGGGTCACTTTGTTCATCATTTTGCCATTAATTTAGAATGATTGTAGAAAATATTACATCTCACAATCGAAAATAGTAATATCCTCTGTTGAATAGTTTCCTCATTTGCAATTCCTTATTTTATATTCCGGTGGTCCTCCACCGTACTGAAGATTATATACATGTTGTTTCCCGGGTAGTTGAAATACAGAAAAAATGTTTTGAAAAATCATTATTTACTCTTAGATGGTTATGAAGAAGCTTCCTGGAATTCCATGATGGTTTACAAATGGAAAAATGTTATCAATGTTTTAAAAACTTTTACCCTGGACTGTATCTAAATAATGACTATAAAAAACCTCAAAATTTCATTTATCAGTAAACTACGAAAAAAAACATCCATTTTTTACGTCAGACACTTTTTCTTGATCACGAAGACCCATCTGTTCGTGTTTTGTAAAATTCCATGAAGGTTTGACAAAGTTATTATAATGTCTTACAAAGTTAACTTAAGTCCATATATCAGTCAAACACAGAAAACATAGAAAGCTGAAAAACATGATATATATTCTCCCAGGTGTTAATCTCTTAATCACGAAAATCCAACTTTATTAAAAATCTATGAAGTTAACCAAATATAATGATGTCGAAAACTTGAACCACAGATTGTATCTAAATGTGCATTTCACA